ATAAAAAGACTAGCTGTCTTCGATCACAAGTGTCTGCGTTCTGTCTCCAATGTGAGGTAGTATAATAGTGTGAGTAATATTAAGGTTAGGCGTTCAGTGACAGGTAAATAGGGGGAATCAATTGACAAGGCTGTGAAGTTACATCGATTGAGATAGCTACGACACGTGTTACGTATGCTTAGTCGTCGCCTTCCTCGACGGGCAGTGTTAGCTGACATAAGAAAGAACATTTTGGAAAAGAGCTATCGATAAGCAAACCAAAACTTTAAGTTAGTATATGAAATCTGTGACAGATAGTTTTCGAAGCATAGTGCTGCGCTTAGTGTCCTCGAGATTCTCACAACCAACTGTTGTAGATAATCGGCGATATGATTCCAAGTCGTTCTCAGCTGTCCATATGAATTTACCCTCTGTGATCTCTTATACCAAAAAACCCCTATTGTTTTTCCATGCTACTTACTATTCTTTCTGCCTCATATTTCTGCTTATTAGCATTCTTTCGAATCTCTTTTATTGTCGCTTTTGTATTCTTTTGTGTGCCTCATGAAATGTGGTAAATCGATATGCTGCACTTCTGTCAGTCAATATATCAATTATATTTTTCGTATGGCACCAATGAATATAATAATAATAATTTACTTTATTCCAAAAACAGTACTTAGAATACAGAATGGAATTCCCAGCATTTGTCACAACATCTTGCATCTTATTAACTTAAAATATAAATAAAATTAAAACAAAAGTAACCAGAGGAATTTTTCCACGTTTACGATATAAAGTCGAAAATATTCGAAGCACGAATTGAGATTATTAAATATAATAATAATAACAGTGAGTTTGTTTCAAGTGGTATTGTCGATTCAGTTTGAAAATTTTAGCATGTTACTATAGAGTGTTGAATCTAATGTTCTGTTGATATAGTATAGTGAGGGGACATACAAAACTAACAGTTATAACAGAGCTTAAATTATGTTCACATTTACGAAAAAAAATGAAAACAAAGAAATCGAAAGAATTATAAATATAAGAAATACGATAGCAATAAAGTTTGATGCTTTAAGGGTGGAGGAAATGGTTTATTTAGTAGTGCAAAGAAGGTTAGTTAGTTCATGCCTGACACTATTTGCATCATATAAAGTACGTGCCAAATAAGGTATAGTAGAATTTTTACACTTAGACGTACGTGCACAAAGTCCTCTGAAAAGACTTCTCGTATTACTTGAGGTGACACAAGGTTGGAGCTGCGGGTAGACGGGTTGCTCAGAGTCTGACAAAATTCCTTTAGCAAATTTGTTACATGACATTAAGTGCCTATCCGTGACAATGTCAACATTATGGCCCAATGGGATACAGCTCATCCTACTGACAGTCAGTCTTCAGAGTTCTACGAAGTATAGTATGACATAGTCTTTTTTAAGCAATCCAGGAAAGAATAAGGGTGAACAGTAAAGAAGAATAAGTAAAATGCACGAGTTGACAAACCGTGAGAGGAGTGGTTGGGTTATGCCTGAGTGCTTTAACTTCTTAATGTAAAAAGTCAGACGAAATATTCTTTTAGAAATGGCTAAGACATGAGAAGACCAGGATAGGTCAGAAGAAAGAATTAATCCAAGATACTTAACTTCAGACTTGATTTCTATGCCCTCAGTATCATCAGGTCCTCCATCCCTAACTGAGGTTACTAAAGCTGTCACCAATCTGAAACTAGGCAAAGCAGCGGGACCTGATGGAATGACGCCAGAGGTATTTAAGTACGGTGGAGACAGCTTACTGTCCGGATTAACTGAGGTACTAGGCAGCGTCTGGGAATCAGAAGAAGTCCCATCGGGTTGGTGTAAGTCACTGATTATCCCCATATACAAGAAGGGAGACAAGTCTTCCTGTGATAATCACAGAGGGATTAGCTTGACTAATATAGTATCTAAAGTCTTAGGCTCAATAATCATGCGTAGACTGAGTGGTGCTCGGGAAGCACAAACACGAGAGAGCCAGGCAGGCTTTAGACCAGGAAGAGGGTGTATTGATCATATCTTCACCCTCCGACAGATTCTAGAACATAGGCATTCCTACCGGCGTCCAACAGTCATTATATTTCTTGACCTAAAGGCAGCATTCGACTCTGTCGATCGGGAAGTTCTCTGGAGATGCTTGGCTGTAAAGGGAATTCCAAGAAAATATATTGCACTGATTAAGGCACTCTACTCGTACTCATACAGCCAGGTGAGGGCTTACGGCGAGCTGTCATCTGAACTGATGACGACCAGTGGTGTCCGTCAAGGATGCCCATTATCTCCTTTTCTATTCAACTTCATCATAGATGTGTTAATGGACTTAACCCTAGGTGACTTCAGCGACTCAGGGATTGACTTGCTACCGGGGAATAATCTCGTTGACTTGGAATATGCAGACGATATAGTCCTTCTAGGCGAAGACGCTGACGAAATGCAGAGTCTTCTAAACACCTTGAGCCGCAATCTACGAATGTTTGGCATGCGATTCGCTCCCGCCAAATGCAAGATGATGTTACAGGACTGGACTACATCGACGCCTAGTTTAAAAATAGGAAGTGAAGTGGTAGAGCACGTTGACCGCTTCACTTATTTGGGAAGTACCATCAGCCCCAACGGGTTGATCTCTGACGAAATCTCAGCACGAATACAAGGGGCTCGTTTCGCATTTGTTAGTTTACGCCGACTCTGGCGTAGACGAGATGTTCGACTATCGACCAAAGGGCGGGTGTACTGCTCATCAGTCCGCTCCGTCCTCCTTTATGGTTGTGAGACCTGGCCACTGAGAGTGGAAGACATGAAAAGACTAGCTGTCTTTGATCATAGGTGCCTGCGTTCTATTTCCCGTGTAAAGTGGCATAATAAGGTGAGCAACATGGAGGTTAGGCGTAGAGTTCTAGGTAAACAGGGGAAATCAATCGACGAAGTCGTGAAGCTACAAAGACTGAGATGGTTAGGACATGTGTTACGTATGCCAAGCCATCGCCTCCCTCGACGAGCAATGTTAGCGGATATAGGGTCAGGCTGGAAAAAAGCTAGCGGCGGTCAAACAAAAACTTGGCATCAGTCAATGAAATCCACAACAGTTGGTCTAAGCCACGTAGGAAGGTGTAGACTTCCAGGCTGGGGTCCTCGGGACGGTAAAAATCTATGGTTGGAAACAATTGGTGACATGGCTCAAAATCGTTCTCAGTGGGTGGCGCAGATGCATCCACTCCCTGTGACTTATGATCTTCAATGAAACTGTTTTGTTTTTCTTTATTACTCCTTTGTCTCACACCTCTGCTCACTGTTTCTATTATGCTTTTCTTGTACTTTCTTCTCTTGCTTCGCGTGCTACACGGAATGTGGCGACTTGAACTTCCGCACATTTGTGCAAAGTTCTATGTCGAAAACAGACAGACAGAGACAGTTTCGCAAGTGTCATAGGAACGAACCAGCGCCTTCATTTAACTCTCGTTTACATCGGAAACTGAAATTATCAGTCTGACATTTGGAAGGATTTAGTTTAAGGCCGTTAGACGAAGACCATTTGCTAATTCCTGATAGAAAGCCGTTCATCTTAGTACAGTCTAGCTGGCAGTTAACAGACATTGAAATTGATCATCGGAATACTTAACAAAGTTCATCAGAGCGAGACAAGTCATGAAAGAAGAAAGAAAACAGAAAAGGAGAAAGGACAGCACCTTTAGGGACGCCAGCCTCAGTAAGCAAAGAAGTGGACGATTTTCCCTGATATACAGTGTACTGCTTTCTTCCTGAGAAATAAGAATGCAGCCATCTGACAACCCAACAGTCAGTTTGAGTTTCAGCAAGCTTGTTTAACAAAATGTCCCTAGGTACTGAATCGAAAACAGATGTGTGATCTAGGAAGGTGCAGCGAACAAATTTAGCCCCTTGTCTAAGCTGAAGACAATGTTATGGTACAAGACTGCAACTGCATCTAAAGTACTTCTGCTGTGTTTATAAGCGAATTGTTTAGGATCGTTAAAGGCTTTAACTGAAGGTTGAAGATTAAGTAAAAGTAACTTTTCGATAGGATTTAGAAAAGGAGACGTAATAGCAATAGGTCTAAATTTAAAATATGTTCCAGTAGATGACTTAGGGATAGGTACAATTTTGATGTCCTTCCAAACGGCTGGCACGACATTCCTGGAAAAAGATTCGTTAAATATATCCATGAGAGGATAACACAAGATGTCTGCACTATTTTTAAGAATGACATTAGGCAAACCGTCTGGGCCCAGGTTACAAGAGACTGAAGACATTTCTGAACATCATTTGTATTGAAACCAGAGAAGCAGGTTTCATTAACACTTGTAACACTAGAAAGTTTGGCATTTGTGGGAGAATATATGAAAGCCTTGTTTAGTGTGCAAAAATCAAAGGAATAAGGAATACTATTCATCTGCTTACCACCACTAATTTCTTTGAAAAGTTTCCACATATTAGATGCATTTTTACAGGATATAAACTTTTGGTTGTAAATTGAATTCAACCTGTGCATTTCAGATTTTATTAGGATGTTAATTCTTTTCAAACCAGTATTGTTCTTCATTTTATATAGCTTTTCTTTTTTGTCTGCGAAGCTTTTTAAGTTGAGCGGGGGGGTGGGTGGTGAAGAAACGGTCAAATCTGATGAAGAGCGTTTCTCTGGGACAACAGGTGTCAAGACAAAATTTAAGATAACTTGTAATATAAGAGATTGTGTCATGAAGAGAGTCTTCATTAAACAGGTCTTACCTTGTGTCTTTGAGCATACCCCTAAGATTCTGAACATTCTCCAAAAGAGTAACACATACATGTACAGTTTTCTTGGAGAGGTGTGAAAAAGTTCTCTTGTATAACTTTCCATAAATTTTAGTTAAAAACCCGTACAATACAATGATCGGAGTTAAAGAGTGGGGCTCTTTTACGAGCTTCGTATATTCCACAACTTTCAATAGCTTTTCTCTAACTTAGCAAATTTTTTTACTCTTTTCCTTTAAACAGGCGGAAGAGCTAAACCGAATAATTGGAGATGCCTTTAAACTTGCTTATCTTCGACAGCGCCTTATTAAACTTCATCAAAGCGGAAAACACGATGCCTCAACTATGTTAAATATACCTCAACTTAGTGATTGTTATCCTGTTTGGCTTCCTCAAATTGATGAAACTACTAAAAGTCTTTCCCTGCTGAATACGCTTAAACTTCCTCCACCGCCTAGTTTCCCTCCTCCTCCTCCTCCTCCTCTTACTACTTCTACGCCTATTGAAAATGAGATGAAAATGCATGAAAAGCGGAATAGTCCAACAGCCAGCAGCAGCAGCAGTGAACTTCGCACTTGTTCTATGCCACATTCCGCTACAGATAGTAATCCTATCATCACTTGTCATCATGCATCAGTTGATTCATCCTGTGTAAATAATATATCCAAAATGACAGATGAAGTGAAAATCGATGAACAGCAACAACAACAACCTGTCTGGATATCATCAGGTGAAAATCCGACAACTTCATCATCTTCTTCGGAGAATGATTCTAACCAACTGTCGGTTCATTCAGATTCTGTACTGGTTGGTAGAGATGAGAAGGCAGACACTTCCGCCGCCAGCATCACTACCGTCATGAATGATAATAACATTCAGTCGAATAAAGAAGCTAGTGAACTGGAAAAAAAGTAAGTGAATTTAATTATTATTTTCTTTCTTTTAAAACACAATCTTCTAATGCCGAAAGAAGTTTTATTTATTGCTTGTTGTATGTCTTCTATACAGTAATTTTGCATATGCGTAATTCTGCATATCTCCATATATATATATATATATATATATCTTACTAGACTATAGCATTTCGTATTGATGTGTTGTACTAATGTGTAAGGTAAATTCATACACATTGACCTTTACATCAGATATATATATATATATGAAACAAGTGTTTGTTTAGTGGCTAGTAAAAAGATGCGGATGATGAGTCATCGATAAAACACTTTAACAGCCATGATATCTTTTCTCCTTTGCTTATATTGAATGTGTATATCACTGTTGTTATGTGTATGCTGTCTAAGGTTGTTATTTGTGTCTTGTTAGCGAGAAGGAGGAAAATTTCGATTTATGTGTCTTTTTAAAGGTAAAATAAAATATTTAAAGAAAAAATAGACTAAAACACACAAGGGAAAAGAAACTGCCGAAATAGATAGATTAGTCAATCAATTGCGTGCGGTCTAATCTGAGAGATTGCTTTTTATAAACCTGATTATTTTACTTTAAAAAAAAAACAGTTTCATTATCAATACCTATTAAAATGTGGATTTTGGTGTATATTTTCAACTTGGTGGTAGTAGAATATTTATGCGTTGCCGGGATTAAAAAAAATTCTAAGTCACGTCGTCCTCGACAGAATATGGGGATGCACTGGATACAGAAATCCACCCGTCGGAACAAACTGGATTGGATTTAGGTAAGGTGAAAAAAAGTGTTGCCGGCTTTTTGTGCGTCGGTGGCACAGCGGTTAGAATGCTTGCTGACCATGCACATGGTCTGGGGTTCGATCCCCGGCCACCGACGCACTCCTTTACCTAGCTAAGCCAGAAATAATGCTGGTAAAGAGGAAAGGTTGGGTATGAGGCTAGCAACCCCATTCTGTAAAAATAAACACTGCTACAGAAACTACAAGCCTGTATCTTGAAGCCCCCTATGTTCTACTGGGAACGTGAAGGAAAAAAAAGGTAAAAATGTAAAATAAATAATGATAGTAGCGATAGTGATGATAATAATAATATTAATGACGGCACCAACAATAAGGAATCTAAATTATCAGTAGTAATTCCATACAAGGAAGGAACCTCGGAAAGCTTACGCAGAATTCTTAACATGGTAGGAATAAAAGTGACTGCATTCAAACCACCCACAAACTCAATTAGAAACAAGCTTTGTCGATGGAGCCTTTAAAAGAAAACAATTTGGTTTATCTAATACCCTGCAATGATTGTCAGGCCGAAAACATAGATCAAAGCATTAGAAAAGGGGCAGTCAGACTACTCGAACATAAAAACATAGCAGGAAAATCTAGATTGGTTGACCCAAATAAGATAAGAAATCTAGGGAATATTTCAGCTTACCACTCACTACTTGCAATTACACACAACCCTACAATAGAATGGATGGGATAAGATGACAGTTTTAAAATCTAATGTCACAGGGTGTAGGCGGGGAGAGATTGATAACAGAAGCTTCGTTTATCGAATTGACTGCAAATATATGTAATAGGAATGATTCATCACCTGTCCCTGATATCTGGAAAATTCTGCTATCCCTACGACGACAAATAGAAGACAAAGAAAACTGTAAAACTCAAGTTTCGAAGTCGTGTGATTATAATTGATGAAATGATTATGAACAGAAATAAATTTTGTTCGAAACCTCGTCGTCCAGTAAATAATACTGTTTCACTGTATGATACATCTAATAAACAAACCAATATGGAATTACTTACTACCACAGTGCCCAAGTTTTACACATATATTTAGGTAAGGTAAATCATGAGCTGGATAAATTTCAACTTTACGCATTATCATCGTCATCGAACAAAGCATAGAATGGCAGTCAAACCCCATACCTCACTTTCATCGACTTTGAAAACGCCTAAGTAATTTGGGAACTACTTCAACACAATGGAGTACAGTGCCTCAAATCTTTTTCGACCTCATTCAAAAGCTATATGACTATTCTACATGTAAAATGATGCACAACGGAAAATTTGGTGAAGCCTTTGAAGATGATACACGAGGTCGACAAGACTGCATACTATCGCCGATGATAGTCCACGTCACCTTCTTACGCCCTACTTGGCGTTCCCTAGTCGGACTCCACTCGAGGGGCCTGCATTGCATGTGATGTCATTCGACGGTCTCCCCAGTGTGTCCCCAATCCACCTCCATTTTCTTCACCATGTTTGTCAGGGAATAGGTTCTTAGTTGATTTGTTCTCATAGTTTCTTGTTGCTATTTTTTTTTGGCCACTTGATATTCACTATTAAGCCAGTGATTGCAGCTCCTGGTAAAAGTCTTCAGCTGTCTGTTGGGAATGCTTTCGTGACACGTGGGCCAAGTTTCTGCCCCATATGGAAGAATTGACTTACTTGGTGTTTGTGTTGAATATCCGAATTTTGTTTATGCTCATTAAAGAAGATTTCCAAACTGATGTCAGAGCGATGGAGTTATGTCATGCCTTTCCGACTCTCGTTTTAACATCTTCATCCGTTCCGCCTGTAGTTGAAACTATGGTGCCGGGTCAGATAAGTGAAGGAAGTGACCTCTTTCAAATTTCTCCCGTAGATAGTGATTGGTGGTTGTTGTAGTTAGTTAGTCGCCGAGTATCTTCATCACTTCCGTCGTTGCTGTATTCACTTCAAGTGCTGTCTTCTATAATGACTTCTTCCAACCTGTTGGTTTTCTCCTGTAAGTCTTCGAATTTGTGTGACATGAGAGATAGATCGTCCATGAAGTCTCTTTATCAGTTCAACTTATCGCTGTCTTCTCGCTTCTCACGTACGATGTGCTGTGTAATCCAGTTGATCACAGTTAGAAATATCATCGGCGATAGTAGGCAGCCTTGTCTTACTCACCTAGTTTTGTACAGTCCCAATAAGATTGAAATCAATAATTCACACTGTTCATGAAATTTTGCTTTCGTGGCTCACGTGATTGGACGGGAATTTTAAAAGCAAGAAATGTCCTTATATATATATATATATATATATATATATATGAAGAGTATAAATGGCAAAACATTAAGGCTAAAACTGTGAAGACCAAGATTGAAGGAGACCAAAAATAATAGACAAGGCAAAAGAAAAAGTTTGCATGAAAAAGGCACCCTTGGAGGAGAGAAAGGAATTTTAATCCACCTTAGGCCACGGTAGGAACAGCGCCTGAATGTCTGTCTGTCTGTTTCGACATAGAACTTTGCACAAATGTGCGGAAGTTCAAGTCGCCACACTCCGTGTAGCACGCGAAGCAAGAGAAGAAAGTACAAGAAAAGCATAATAGAAACAGTGAGCAGAGGTGTGAGACAAAGGAGTAATAAAGAAAAACAAAACAGTTTCATTGGAGATCATAAGTCACAAGGAGTGGATGCATCTGCGCCACTGAGAACGATTTTGAGCCATGTCACCAATTGTTTCCAACCATAGATTTTTACCGTCCCGAGGACCCCAGCCTGGAAGTCTACACCTTCCTACGTGGCTTAGACCAACTGTTGTGGATTTCATTGACTGATGCCAAGTTTTTGTTTGACCGCCGCTAGCTTTTTTCCAGCCTGACCCTATATCCGCTAACATTGCTCGTCGAGGGAGGCGATGGCTTGGCATACGTAACACATGTCCTAACCATCTCAGTCTTTGTAACTTCACGACTTCGTCGATTGATTTCCCCTGTTTACCTAGAACTCTACGCCTAACCTCCATGTTGCTCACCTTATTATGCCACTTTACACGGGAAATAGAACGCAGGCACCTATGATCAAAGACAGCTAGTCTTTTCATGTCTTCCACTCTCAGTGGCCAGGTCTCACAACCATAAAGGAGGACGGAGCGGACTGATGAGCAGTACACCCGCCCTTTGGTCGATAGTCGAACATCTCGTCTACGCCAGAGTCGGCGTAAACTGGCAAATGCGAAACGAGCCCCTTGTATTCGTGCTGAGATTTCGTCAGAGATCAACCCGTTGAGGCTGATGGTACTTCCCAAATAAGTGAAGCGGTCAACGTGCTCTACCACTTCACTTCCTATTTTTAAACTAGGCGTCGATGTAGTCCAGTCCTGTAACATCATCTTGCATTTGGTGGGAGCGAATCGCATGCCAAACATTCGTAGATTGCGGCTCAAGGTGTTTAGAAGACTCTGCATTTCGTCAGCGTCTTCGCCTAGAAGGACTATATCGTCTGCATATTCCAAGTCAACGAGATTATTCCCCGGTAGCAAGTCAATCCCTGAGTCGCTGAAGTCACTTAGGGTTAAGTCCATTAGTACATCTATGATGAAGTTGAATAGAAAAGGAGATAATGGGCATCCTTGACGGACACCACTGGTCGTCATCAGTTCAGATGACAGCTCGCCGTAAGCCCTCACCTGGCTGTATGAGTACGAGTAGAGTGCCTTAATCAGTGCAATATATTTTCTTGGAATTCCCTTTACAGCCAAGCATCTCCAGAGAACTTCCCGATCGACAGAGTCGAATGCTGCCTTTAGGTCAAGAAATATAATGACTGTTGGACGCCGGTAGGAATGCCTATGTTCTAGAATCTGTCGGAGGGTGAAGATATGATCAATACACCCTCTTCCTGGTCTAAAGCCTGCCTGGCTCTCTCGTGTTTGTGCTTCCCGAGCACCACTCAGTCTACGCATGATTATTGAGCCTAAGACTTTAGATACTATATTAGTCAAGCTAATCCCTCTGTGATTATCACAGGAAGACTTGTCTCCCTTCTTGTATATGGGGATAATCAGTGACTTACATCAACCCGATGGGACTTCTTCTGATTTCCAGACGCTGCCTAGTACCTCAGTTAATCCAGACAGTAAGCTGTCTCCACCGTACTTAAATACCTCTGGAGTCATTCCATCATGTGAGCTTTCTGAATACAGAAAAAAATTGTCTTTATTTCAATTGGTAAATAA